TTACAGATCACCTTCATGTGGAGCAGACCACAACCAGGTACTGCTGAATGCAATTTCAGCGACACAAGACATGGGTTATGATCAAATTGTCAAAGCTGGAGACTTCAATGCCTCATCTCTTAACTTGATGACGGGATATGCCCAGGATAGATTTGATCGAAATCTGCTGCATACCATCAGGGAGGCCAGATTCACTGAAAATGTCAGAATGAATACTAGATGGGGCCCAGATGGGAAGTCTTCTAGACTGGATTATGTGCTCACTAGTGACCAGCTACTAGTGGAAAACGTTCAGATCACGACTCCCATAGGTAGTAGTAACCATGCGGTCATAACATTCGACATTGTCCTCCGCGAGCGTTTACAGTGGGACAATACACAGCCCCATCTGTGTTTTAACAAAGCCAATTACGCCGAAATGCGAAGACTTTTGTCTGAAGCAAATTGGCCAGAAAATTGGACAGAGCTTACAGTAGAAGAACACTGGGGAGTGGTAAAGGAGATCATTCACCAGGCGGTCTCAGACACTGTTCCTTTAGTCACACCAAAAGCTAGAAAGCAACGTTCATGGCTAAAAAGGGGGACACAGTGCCTTCTACAGGCGAAGCGAAAAGACTGGTTTGTGTGGCGAATATCGAAGAGTCAACCCGAACATGAAGTTTACCTTGAACTCACGGATCGATGTAACATACGAATCCGGAGTGATAGAAGGACATTTCAGAGAAACCTCGCCAATAAGCTTCTCGTGAACCCCAAAAGCCTATATAGGTTTATATCTGAAAGAAAACCGACGAACCAGGAAGCTTGCAATCTAGTGGGTTCTCTTACTAGTCTAGAAATGGCAGAGACATTCAGTCTAGCCTTTCACAGGCAACTGAACAGTAATGAGGATTTTACTCCCATAAAACATCAAGATTACAATGCAAGACCAACGTGCGAAAACCTGCTGGGTACATTTCAAATTACCTCGGCTATGGTACTCGTAAAATTGGGAAAGTTGGCTTCGGGAAAGTCTGCAGGTTGCGATGCCATAAGACCATCCGTCCTGAAGCAGTGTTCAGAAAGTCTCTGCCAACCCCTAAGTGATCTGTTTCAACACTCCTTTGATGTAGGGAAACTTCCATGTGAATGGAAACGAGCCATCCTATCCCCTATCTACAAGGGTGGTGACCGGCAGAACGCGACCAGTTACAGACCAGTTGCGCTACTCCCAGTGATATCAAAGATATTGGAAAGTCTCATTGACGACCACATGAGAAAATACTTCGACGGGACTAACCTACTCCATGAAGCACAGCACGGTTTCAGGAGGGGAAGATCCTGTGTGACGAATCTTCTACTAGCTTGGAACGATTGGACACTATCCTGGGATGTAAAGGTATCAGTCCATGTGATCTTTCTCGACTTTGCGAAAGCATTCGACACAGTTCACCATGGTCTGCTCCTTCACAAAATAAGCAAAGCGGGCGTTTCTGGAGCACTTCTCGCATGGCTGGAAGATTATTTAGGCGAGAGAGAATTCTGCACCAAAGTCAACCGCATCCGATTATCCTGGCACACCGCAGCATCAGGGGTTCCTCAAGGTTCTATCTTAGGGCCGTTGATGTTTTTGATTTTTATCAACGACCCGCCCTGTCAACTGAATTGCTCTGCGCTTCTTTACTCTGACGATGTAAAGATTTGGAGAGCAATAAACTCACCGGAAGACTCCAACAGATTGCGGGCTGACCTGCGAACTCTGGGAGACTGGGCTCTGGCTATTGGAATGCCTGTCAACTTAAAGAAATGCAAAGTAGTGCAACTTCATTCCGGCAGGTCACAGAGTGCAAATTACACCCTTGGTGGCCAGAACTTGAGTTGTGTGCCATCAGAAAGTGACCTAGGTCTTATTTTAACAGAAAAGCTAGACACCAGTGTAAATTACACGAGGGACGTCGCCAAAGCTTACGCTACTTTACACTTTATGCATAGGCAACTGGGAGCTCTTACTCCTGAACTATTCTTAACGTTGTATACGACATACGTGAGGCCACTCCTTGAGGTGCATAATATCATTGCTCCTCCGCTACTCAAAAGGGATGCTAACATGCTAGAAAGTGTCCAGAGACGAGCGACAAAATGGGTGATCTGCCTCCGCAACAAATCATATGAGGAAAGACCGAGGGAATTAAGTCTTTTCACACTTAGTTACCGTAGTCACAGGGGAAACCTCACCACCGTCTATAAGATCTTAAATGACCAGGCCCACCCTAATAAGAGCATCCTGCCATTAAGTGATTATAGGCTTCCACGAGGTAACCCGCTAAGGATAGCACACCAGAGACTAAAGACTCGAGTGCGTTCACATTTCTTCTCGCTTCGAGTTTGCCGTCTCTGGAACGCTTTACCGGCGGCCGTGACTACAGCGCCATCTGTGGAGACTTTTAAGCGGAAGCTGGACAATCATGCAGAAATGCATGGTTTGTGTCTCAATGGCTTATCCTCTTAAAATTTGAAACCACATTTTCAATGGATAAGCATACAAGCTAAATCCCCACGACCTGTCCTGTCTTTTCCCACTGTACCGACTACTCTATCTTTTCTTTCTTTCTTTATTATTTCACCTTTATTATTTCACTTATCTCAACCTATATTATCTACACTACCACCTATTATTATTATTATTACTATTCTGCTTTTATGACTACACCGAATGACCAACGGGTGTTAGGTCAAACTCCATTCACGGCAGCAGCTGAGTCCTAACATACTGCACACTACAAACCACAATCTTGACCAATCCTCGCACCACTCCTCTTGGAGTCTACCAGAGCTAAAGCAGTCGAGTGGCGGGATTTACTACGCATAAGTTCACCGAAAATCTGGAACCTCTACCTTACAATCAAGAAGCGATCTCAAAGAAATCACTGGTTTATACTAGCTCGTAATCAGGATATTGGATATTGGATATTGAACCGATACGGTCTGAACGCATCGCATACTGTAAACCATATGTAACCAATCCCCACACTACTCCCCTTGAAGGCAGACGTCTAGTGAAGATCGGAGAACTTTACTCTACAACCAAGAGGCGGTCGCAAAGAAGTTAATTCGGTTTATGCTACCTCGTGAAAACGAAACATCATTTTGGAATTCATCATTTGTTGCTTATTGAAATCTCCGCGCTTTTCCACTTGTACGCTATATCACTTCTAATTGGCGTCATTGTGCATTCTTATGAGGATTAGGGATAAAATCACCGTTTTTTAATTGTGATTCCACACTAAAGGATCCGTTTTACTATACTTCTTCTTGCAAGGTAAGTTATTCGGTGCTGCTATTGTTTGTAATCAGTTAGAAGTTGCAGAAATTAAGGAACTTACACATAATTTGGCATATAATATTTTATCATAAGCGTAACCTCCTTTTTGTCTGATTCAGTTGTGTGAGACGAATCTATGAAATCTTTTAACCACGCTAGTTTTATTATCAGTTTTGGTTAGGTTTCGACTACATGCAAGATTTTCTAGTCAGTATAGTTTACATGCTATTCACAATCACCTCCGATACTCACGAGTATCTGTAAAGTAATGTAGTCACGCAGTGGGCGTTTCATTGGGATTTTGATCAAAAGAGGGCGTGACTTTTCACAAACCATTCACTAGATGGACTTTGTTATCATTGTCCTGATACGGTTACAGATCTGCATTAGGACATATGTCAGCCTTTTGTACAAGCATTTTCTTTGTATGAACATTGCGCATCCGACTGGAAGCGACTCCATTTGTCAGTAGAGTTCAGGTATGTAAGTTCTTTTCATTAAGTAACCGTGCTTGTTTGTACTCCTTTCATACATGTCGACTTAGGACTCATATACTAGTTCTGTGAGTTTGTTCTTAGAGGTAGTGGTTATGAGAGACTTGGCGATATAGTTTATTGTTGGTTGTTGGACTCTCCTGCTGTGTCCATTGAGATATCCCAAGCTGGTGGGAATAAAGAGAGTATAAGTTGGGTCTGTAGTCATTTCTTGGGGTTTTAGTCTCGTTTTTCTATGGTACGAGGTTGAGACTCCGTGCTTATCACTGCTTATCAGCTCCTCTTCTTAGTTTACAACACGGTACTCAATTTCTACACGCTTTTCTTGCAGAAGTCTCTGTGTTCAACTCCAAATATTGGAGTCACTTTGTTAGCCAAAGAAACTTGTTGTTTTAAGGTACACGTATAGTACTATTCAATAAGATGAAGTCTCTTTCGAAGTGCAGTGTTCTGAACACCTTGCAAACAAATAAAACTATGCTATGGATGCGTTATGCTTCTGTAAAATGTCCGGTTTTTGTTTTGTGACTTAGCTGCAACAAGTTTAAGGTTAAGGACAAATAGTGTACTAACTGGACACCCTAACTGCTTAATGGATCTGGACTGGATGAGTGGGTTTCAACAAACAACTCTGTACAGATGTCAGGCAGTTAAATTTGCTACACTCCACGTAGCAAATGATGGTAACCATTCTTTTGAGAAAAAATATTCAGAAGAACTACAGTGAGCAGAAATGTAAGGCAGGAAGGACAGTAACATGGAAAAAAAATGACTTAATGAATCTGGGAAACAATAATTTGCTGTCTTAAGACAGTACTTATGATACAGTGTGGAATTCTCAGGATTGGGCACAATAGTGCATCGAATTCACTCGACAGCAGCAAAAACAATAGTTCATGTTACAGAGCATAGGTAACCAAAATTGATAATATTATCTTTTTGATATTAGCAGTGACAATAAATTCAAAAATGTACAAAAAGTGTAAAATGATAATGATAATGTTACACAAAGATTACAAATAAAACAAAAGTAGTTCAGTGAAGAGGCGCTTTCCGGCGATTCATTCACTAAGCTGTTCATTCTCATCCATAAACAGTTTGTCTTGAAAGAGTAGTAACAAAAGTGACGAGTTGTCAGTATTGGTCAGTTCATACGAGTTGAAGTTACCTAATTATATGAGTAATTTTGACGGATGCACATAGAAACGAAGGAAAATATGAAATTACGTTAAAGTTCTAAAGAAATACTAGCGTTATAAGCAGTTGAAAAATAAACCAACAAACTTGCCACTTTTCTTACTTCCCTCATGAAAAAGTTGCATATAAATGCGATTGTACGGTTTAGTAAGTCATTTCCTCTTCTCTGATCTATTTGTTTTGTTTTCACTAGTATCTGGGAGGAGGGGGGATTATTTGTTAGTACGATTTTAGCTATCATCAATAGCCTCAAGCTATTGGCTCTTAGCAACTCACGGACTCCAACCAAGCAGTCTGCACCTTCCTACTTGGCTCACACCAACAGTTGAAGACTTTATGGTTTTTATTTGACCACCCATAACTCTTTTTTATCGTAATCCTACTTCACCTAAAGTTGCTTGTCAAGAAAAGTGGTGACTCGTCATGCGCCACTTGTGTTTGTGTAGCTTCACAACCCCATCGATTGACGTACCCTCCTTACCTAGTACTATACGCCTAAGCTCAATATGGCTTACTAAATTATACCACGTGAACTGAGAGACAGAACGCAAATACCTGTAATAAAAACCAACTAGCCTTTTCATTTCTTCCATTTTCACTGGCCATATTGCACAGTCATAAAGAAGGAGAGAGCGAGCTATTTTACAGTTCACACCTTTAATGGATAGCCAAATATGACGTTTACACAGATGACGCAAAGTAAGTTGGTGGATGGTAACTAGCAGTGAGATGCAGGTTGCGAATTTCGTCCTATTTGGGACTCGCCACCTTGGTGTGCCTGCACTCCCCAGTGAGTGATGGTATTCCCACTGAGGAGGCTCGAACCCAGCACCTGTAGTTTCAAAGGCCAAAGCATTATCCATTGGAGAACTTGGGCTACGACAGCCACCTGAATTCCACTGCTAATCACCATCCACCAATATACTTTAAGTTAAATAATCAGACATCGTCGAAGCATCAGCACAAGGAGCTAACATGTTAACCTGAGGCTGAGCACTTCGGTCCAATCAATCAACGGGGAATCGAATTCAATAATGGGATGACTTAAGTTGGCAAATGCCACACGAGCATTTTCTATCCATGCTGAGATTTCATCAGCAATTACTTCATTAGGGCTGTTGAATTTGTCTGGAAAGTTTTTGTCAGCCTCAAAAGTGCTAGAGATAACTCTGGTTATAGAATTCAAAACAATCTTATATTTGTGCTGACTGTTGAATTTATCTGTCAGGCTTTATCAGCCTCGATAGTGATAGCATAAATACAGGGTTGACTTACATTCTCTAACCAGAATTATAGTTGGCCGTAGTGGGATATGCTGCTACTAATTAAAGGACATGAACTGTGCTGTAGTCTGCTGTATTGTACTGAGGGGGTCTGGGCTATGGATACTGGAAGAAGACTACGCGAAAGATTGCAATCTTTTAACCACAGGTGCGTTTTCTAGCATTACTTGCGTATAGCAAACTATGAGATGAGTGATTTTCTAACGGCATGGGTTTGTAGTTGAAGATATATATATATATATATATATATATAATTTCAGTGGTGAAGGTGAGCAATGCTTTAACCATGTGTTGGTTCTTTCACTAATTAGCCTTTTACATTAGTCTACATAAATGCAGATAGTTGTTTCTTTTGGTTGGGTGGGTGGGGTGACGGCTCTCTTTTTTATTAAAATCGTAGATACTGCTGGCATTGCCACCAAAAGAGTGTAGTAAAATAATGCCAATATAGGAGTGATACATAATATAAACTTTTTAAAATAAGATGCTGGTGATTCATATCATAAATGTATGTCTGATTGTTTCGTTTTCTCATTGGTGTGGTGTGTTTCTGTTTAACTTTGAAGAAGAACTTCATGTTTTTAGGCTTCATGCACAATTTCCTTGTTTGCACTCGCATATCTCCTGTTAAGTACTGAGACAATAAGCTTTCACAACAAACGGTTATGTTGTGTATAGAGTCGAGTCTTCCAAATATCTGAAAAATTAATGCTTTGGTAAAATAACAGGACATACATTCTGTGTGAATAGTTGTTCCTTCACGTTTAATAAGTACACTTTATATGTCATTTTGTTATCTTTGGCATAAAAATAGTGAGACCAGAATATTGTGAGCAGTAGGAATCACTGGCTTTACTATCATACGACTGAAATTCACAATACACTAACACTCATTGCCAGTGACAAATTAATATCAGCTCTCTAGTTTTTAGGTTAACAAAAAAAACATAAGGTATATAGCAGTAGTGCTTCAGTGTAAGCTGTTAAATCTCGACAAGTAGATTACCGGAAAAGCCATTCAGAAGACTACCGTTTTTGGGTTGCTACAATGTCAGTTAACAGGAAAAAGAGAAATGGAAACAGTCTGCAATCTAAACCTTAGCTGGCGCCTCCAAAGCCTCAGGATGGTCGGGGGTGGGTGCCTTGCGCTGCGGGTTGGCCACCCCTCCGCACACCTCTTGAAATGCTCCCATATGACCGGGCGTCTTACATAGCCTCTCCTGAGGAAGTCCTACTCACTGCCTTCACGTGGCGGAGGTGTCTTTCACCAAAGTGAGAGGGCGAAAGCGGATGCCCGGCGCTCTTCACCGGGTTGACTGTCCATTGGATGACAGTCTAGGGGAGATGGCTAAACCCTGATTCCAAACCTCCAACGACTGGCGTATGAAGCTCACCGGAGCTCACCGGCAGAAGTATGGACAAAGGGCTTGTTGGATGTCCTGGATGTCTGGCCCCATTCAAAAAGGCGTATGAACCGAACTCCGGTCACCGGCTGCCAATGGATAGTGGACTCCCTACTCCACTCCTACTGCCTTGTAGGTCACACTTGGTTGTGTAAAGGCTAGAGCTGCACTCTCAAACAAAAGGCCAAGCGATTCTGGGGACATCACTCGTACCAAATTCCCATGAAACTTCATGAACTATCTTACTAACGGATTCAAGATGTACATGAAGCCGGCTCATCCTCCCGTAGGAGATAGCCGAAGTAAAGTAAAGTAAGTGGCGCCGGGTTCAGGGTGATTAAGAATACTCTAACCCCGGGTGGAGACTCACCATTTCACCTGGGTGGTTTGAAACTTGTGACGGACCTTAATCGGGTGCGCTCGGGCGTGTAGTTTTTTGCCAGTGGTGAAGCCTCACGGTCCTCCCGTTATTGTGCGTCTGTGGCACAGCGGTTAGGACTCTCACCAACCATGCACATGGTCCGGGGTTCGATCGCCTGCCGACGTACACCTGATATTAATGGTCGGTCTGCAAAATTTTGGACTCCAGACTTGTACCAAAAATACGGTGTGAAATCAAGCTATAATCAAAAAAAGAAAAGAAATCAACGTAGGTATACTGCTGACTGTTAGCTCTCACATTAGAATTATTTAAGCCATTTTACATTTACGACCATATTGTCTGTCTTCTTACATTACTTAAAATCCTTCACCTTAAATCATTATTCACTCTGGTGTGATTATTTGGAAGGATTTCCTTTCTTCTTGATGGACCAGCATAGTAAACAGTTAAAATGTGGTTCGTAATGCATCAATTTACTTTTATTACTTTTATTAGTACAAAGTTGTGAATAGTTTTCTAGATTATTAGTGTAAATCTTTACTTAACTTAATCATTTTTTTTTTGTTGTAAATTTTGCCTAATACTGTAGGTCTCAATATTTAATCCTATCAAGCATTTTTAAAGCATTTCCAGACAATGAATATTCATCGTGCTGTAAGAAATTATATTAACAAAATGGTTTCAATGGCCGATGGTGGAGGCATGAAAGTTCTAATGCTTGATCAAGAAACCTTAAAAATTGTCAGTGTAGTTTGTTCTATGTCAGAAATTATGAAATATGATGTCTATCTAATTGAACGTATTGACTCACCACGTGAACCTCTTGAACATTTGCGTTGTATTTGTTTTATACGACCAACAAAAGAGAATATTAGCCTATTGTCACAAGAGTTAAGAAAACCGAATTACTTTTCTTATTATATATTCTTTAGTCATTCAATAACTAAACAACTGCTTAAACAATTAGCAGAAGCCGACGAGAATGAAGCAGTTGTTGAAGTTCAAGAGTATTTTGCTGATTTCATCCCCTTATCTCCATTTCTCTTTGAACTTGATATACCTATCAGTTTGGATGAAAGTAGAGATATGAACAGTCGAGTGTTGAATCGAACCACTGATGGTATTACATCAGTATTGTTAGCTTTAAAAAAGTGTCCTGTAATACGCTATCAAAATAATTCAGAAGCAGCTCGTCAGCTGGCTGAATCTATCCGCTCGTTAATATCTAGAGAGACGGTGTTGTTTGATTTTCGACAAACAGAACCAGCTCCTGTATTATTGATTTTAGACAGAAGACAAGACACTGTCACACCATTGTTGTCACAATGGACTTATGAAGCTATGGTGCATGAATTAATCGGTATCGCACAGAATCGTGTCAGTTTAGCTCGAGCACCGAATGTGAAATCCGACCTGAAAGAAATTACTTTGGATCGTGAATTCGATGAGTTCTACCGTACAAATCAATTTTCAAATTTTGGTGATATTGGACAATCGATTAAAAAACTTGTTGACAACTTTCAAAAAGCCTCAAAATCTGTTGATGCTAAAAACTTGGAGTCAATTGGAGACTTGAAAAAGTTTCTAGAAAATTATCCAGCCTTTCGAAAAGTCTCTGGCACCGTTGATACACATGTGACATTGATGTCAGAGTTGTCTAGAATTGTAAAAGAACACGCTCTGCTAGAAGTTAGCGAAGTTGAACAAGAACTTGTATGCCGGGATAATCATGCTTCAGTTTTATCACGTATTAAAAGTTTAGTCAGTGATCCACGGATTCTGCTTTCTGATGCTTTAAGACTTGTCCTGTTGTATGCTTTACGTTATGGCAAGCAAAAACAAGAGTTGGCTGGATTAATTCGTGCTTTGGTGACACGTGGTGCTACAGATGAAGATATTAGAACTATTGAAAAGTTATTAGAGTATTCATGGCCAGTATCCACTTCTGATGGATTCGATTTATTTAATGTTGTGAAAAGTGCAACAACCAGTGGAACATCAGCTATTGTCGATGCTCAAAGTGCAACAAAAGCAATGGCTTCGTTAAAAAAACGCTTAGTACAAGAATTAAAAGGTGTCGACAATGTATACACTCAGCATGAACCTTTATTAGTAGATATTTTAAATAAGCTAACTAAAGGTCAACTACGTGATGCTTCATTTCCTAGTTTAGCGACTGGTACTTGTTGGAAGACTGTACCTAGTGGCCAGCGTCCAAAAGAAATTATTGTCTTTTTCATTGGTGGTATCACCTACGAAGAAGTCTGTAGTGTACATAAAATCAATTCTTCAACACCAGATGTGGATATTATCATAGGAGGGACATGTGTTCATAATTCTAGAACATTTTTACAAGAAGTATCTGCAGTTACAAAAAGTGTTGGTATTGCAAATACTAATTCATCAAAACTGATGCCTAATTCTGTGGAACCTACTCGTCGAGTATATGGGAATTCGAGAAGTAATATTCGCTATGGATTATTACAATGAGAGAGGTCTTATCAGGAATAAGGGAAACTTCGTCTGTGATCATTCCACTATTATTATTATTATTTCTGCAAAATATTTTCCGTCTTTATTTGTTGTTTGGGTTATCTTCACTATTTTAAGTAACTTTCTACTAATTTGCTGCTGAGCATTTATCGGTATTTCTATCAAATTCGAAAAAAAAGGAAATCCTTCTTTGATTGCTACTTTATTTAAATATTATAAAGTGTAATGAATGTTGTGAATAGTGGAAAAAAAAACTGGCTAGTGACTTTTTTACGAATTCATTTATGCCGTATGCTTTGGTGTAGCGCTAGTGTTTAAATCTATGTTGTCATGGTGATGCTTAGCTGTGATCCTCAGCGGTATGTTTTTTTCTTCTGTTTACTATATTTTGCTTGGGTAAAAAATCAATGATGAAAAGAGTCACCCGTCGTCTTGTATCATTCCATATGAGTAGTTTGTCAGTCGAGAAGTTCAATTTAAATATTCAGTCTTTTATCATCATAACAATTTGTTTGAATGCATTTTCTCATTTTGTACACTAGTTTTAACATGTTGTCTACAATGTACGTATATATAAGCTTTGTAAAGTATATACCTTTACGATAATTGAAAAAAAGCAAAAAATAAATTGAACATGTTACTTTGAGAAGTAGAAGAGTAATCATTTTTAGAAAAAAAGAAAACAAGTAGTCATCAGGTCTTTGTGTTTCTGTAAGTTTTTATTGATTCATAAATAAGGCCATACGGCACTCTGAAAACTTGAATAGTTGTTTGAAATAAGTAATATTTTCTGAATAAAAGGTGTAAACATCTCTTCGCACTCTCCTAATTTATCGATAATTGTAAAGGTGAATCTTTCGTTTTGGAACACAAAATGTATTTTGTTTGGACACTAGTTACTAGTGTCCATTCAAAATACCCACTACAGTCCTACAGGAGGTCAATCGCGAGCCGGAATAGCTCAGTGGTAACATCTGTGACTGCAGCGCTCACTGGGTGACGTGGGTTCGAATCTCACAAGAGACATGAGTTCCTTCAAAGGTGCAGATACGCCTTGCTGACGAGTGCCAACTAGCTCGAAACCTAGGTCCAAGCATGGCTTCCCGCCGATTGCCTCCAACTTCCTAATACAAACAAATGTGTATTGTAATACTGTAACAATAGAATATAAAGACCAGGCAACAGCTCGTTTATTGAGAAAATCAAGAGATAGATATTTGTAGATTTTTATGTACATTATTGTTAGCGGGGAAACAACCTCTTCTGATTGATTGTTTTCTTGCTGAAGATTATTCTGTACTGCTTGTAACCGTTTCTCAGAAAGTTAAGCCATATATCTGCGAATCGTATTTGCACACGTTAAGTCTGCTGTGATTGGTTAGTGAGTTCCTCAAGGTTAAGCTTTGTTATTGTTTTTCTCATCACCCCGAATCGGGACGTAAGCATTGACGTAAATTGTTGTCTACAATTTTAGCTTGTTCGCAGCCAGCTCTCACCACAATACTAATTACTTCTAAGGAGACATATCCAACTGAGTTGAAACTCACCTTCGACATCAGTAAACCCAGGTGAGATGAATACGAAAGAAGTCGGAAGGCTAACACTGCAAAATTATTGAATGACAAAAAATCTCGTAGTTCAGCGAAGAGATTGTTTTCGGTAAATTCTTTTATCAGATGAAATAATTCAAGTCAAATAACAGCAAAGATCAGTCTCAATAAAGAAAGAAAGACGAGATTTGCAGCAGAAAATGATATCATCATGATATTTCACAGGTTCTGCTCATCAGCTGCAAACTACCTCACGTTAAAATGGTTATAAATTATGATGATAACATACTTTAATGTTCCAATAGTAGTAAAGAAAACATCATAAAATCAACACATCCGAAATATAAGCATTACAATTTCCGGTTTAAGTTACCATCAATTTATACGCTTTCAAAATATAAAATAGGAAAGGGGCAGGAGGAGATAGAAAGCAGAAAAATCGAATAAACAGTGTTGACATGTAGCTTGACATTAGCAACTCAATAAGTTCATAGTTCATAAAATAAATTAAGCATAGTAAGTTTGGTCTGAAACACTTGATTGGAATTTTTTCAGCAAATCGTAGTAGATTCGCTGTCCTTTGTGTGTTTAATATTTTGGGGGATTTAGAATTCTCGACGAAATGATCCGTATTCACAAGGTGTCTAATAATTACACTTTGTGAATATCTACTTCCTTTTAGACATAAGTTTCTTGGGATATGGTGTGAAAACCGGAAAGAAGACCTTTCAATGCACTTGCTCTTACAAGTGCACGTAAATTTATAAATGCAGTTGTAGGTGACATCAGTAGGGTACTTATCCAGTTTCGATTGGCTTGTAGAGCATGTGGTGCTGTATAGCGTTACTAGCTTATCTGCACGGGAACATGTTTTTATTGCTTGTCTCATTCTCTTGTCAATGTTTTGTGATACTGCTAGCCTTTGAATGGGAGACAAATGAGCATTTTCTTCTTTTTAATAGTTGGATGTTTCGTTTTCTCATCCTCTTCTTTGCAGTACTTGGATAAATCCCTTTGGGTACTCATTTTCCCTTGGGTACTTTTCAAGAAGGCTCAATTCTTCTTTCAGTCTGTTAGGCGAACATAACTTCCTGGCTCTGTCGTACAGTGTCCTTACTAATCCACGCATATAGGACAGCTGTTGTAGTGAAGATATTGTGTGGTCCATGTTTCTTTTCTGTAAACAGATTTTTCTACTGTACCACCATTTCTTCTTCTTACGTTAAGGTCCAGGAAATTGAACTCATCGTTGTATTCAAACTCCATGGTCAAGTTAATATTTGGATGGATCTCATTAAGACGGTCAAATAATAGAGATGCCTGACTCATGTTGTTATCAACAACAAACGTATTATCGACATATCGACGATAGTATCTTATTCCATCGATATCAGAACTCAGTCGTCTCTGTTCCAGATAACCCAATATATCGGCCAGAACAGGTCCTAGAGGTGAACCCATAGTGACCTCATCGATTTGTCAGTGTCACAAAACATTGACAAGAGAATGAAACAAGCAATAAAAACATGCTCCCCTGCAGATAAGCTCATAACGCTATACAGCACCATATGCTCTATAA